ATTATCATTAAATCCACTTGCTTAGTGCTCACTCACAGAGCTAGATTTTAGACCCACCAATTTTACTTTAAGGCTTACACTTTTAAACCTTATTTCATCCTGCCTCTTTATTTATATATAATTATAAATGCAACTCTCATTTTCTGTGTGTGTAAACACACACATATGTATGTTTGTGAGTCTATGTGTATAATATTTGGTAAGTGACAAGTAAGCAACAGGCAATGAATTCCTACTTTGGCAAGGTTTTACCCACATACACAAATCACTCAACAATTGGAAATCACCCCTCCCCAATAAATGGTGTTTTTTATAAGTACTAATTATATTTGACATCTTCCTCAAGAAACTGATGAAAAAGATATGCATTGAGCTTTCGAGTAAAAGGATAAACTCTATGAAAGGATAAAAATGTTAATCTTTAAAAAATTTGATAATTGATAAAATACAGATAAATATACTTTGTAGACTATGAATTACTTTAATCCTAACACTTTATTAGTTTTTTTTTATTTTTAATTACCTGTTTGGCTCATAACATTTAAGTTTCCAAACTCTGTACAGGAAACTTAGAGGCTGTATTTTCAACTTCAATACATAGGCAAAAGGCAATACCTATAATCTGTATCTCTGCAACCAAATTCAACTGTACCACAATCTCAATTTAACAGACTTAAATTTCAAGAAACAAATCACATCTGTACTTTTCACAGTTACTTACAAGATCACAGTTCCTAGAATCCCAAATAAAATGGAAAAGCTACAGCTTGTAGACAGAGTATTAGAAAAACAATTAGTAGAGGGAGAATATAAAGGAAATCTTTTAGAGACAACAATCTTAATCCAATCTTGCTTTCCCCCCATTCAAGAGAAATGTGCACTGCTACTGCTTCTGCCCTGGCATGAAGTCCTTTGCTTTTCTCCTCCTGGAAAGTTACTCACAAGACTTTTGCTTTTCTTGCTAACATCTCTCAATTACCAAAGGATGTCCTAAATTTAAAAGGAAAGCATACCATCTCTCCATAATCATGTAAAAGTTTCTGATAAAATCAAAGAGGACAGTAACTCCACAGTTCAACTTTGGAAGATCTAAGAAAAAAATTAAACATGAGAGCAACTGAGGCCCTTTTTTCATGGAGACTCCATTTCCCTGAAGAAAAGACTATTTGTTGAATTTGGTGTTCTACCTTCTGAGTCTCAAGTGACCTTTGTGGTTTTGTTTTGTTTTAAAAATGGCAAGGAAGAGAAATACTTGAGCCAACCAGCAGGGTGAGCCAGTGCTAGAATCAGTTTGATTATTCTCAATTCTCTCAAAATTCAATTGTGTAAATGGTGCACACCATTGAAAGCAGCATTCCCCTCTAATAAACCTGAATTAAAAGACACTACTTCTAGAACTGCTTCAGTTAATGATATATCTCATTAACTTTGTGCAGTATTTACAGATTCTCTACATAAAAACACTACACCAGGTTAATAAATGTAAAAACATTAGAGCTTATTTGAATATCTATCCAAAATATTATAGTAGCTATCTTTTATTGTTTTATTTTATAGGGCTATCAATTTTTTTAAAAATTAAGAACTTTTTTTAAAAAGGACTCCTAAAATTAGTGTTCTATAAAAAAATAGGGCTACATAATTCAACATATGAATTTCTACATTTGGTGAACTACGGCTGCTTTAAGATCTGCCTGCAAAGCTGTTATGAGAAAAACATTCCTACAAGACTAAGACCCACTCTTTTCCTTTGGAATCACAACCTGAGAGTCTAAATAGTAACTCGAAACACTAACAGTGTATTTAGGAGAGAAAGGTGAACCTGATTTTTTCTGACAACTAATTTCTCTAAATTGCAGGTAACCCCCAGTCGCTTTTAGTGGCTGTCCTTCAGTCATTCTTTTCTCCTCCTGCTACCCAACACTCTCCATTCAACCACAAAAAAACTCTCCCTTGTATAACCTGAATGACAAATGAAACCTGCAAAATATGTTAAGCTTTGCAGGTGATGAACTCACTTTATAACTACAAATAATCTGGCAGTATTCCCAATTATCACAAGGCTAGCATGTAATTAAATCTACTCACATATGGTTAAAAAATTTTTTAAATAGCTTATCTACTTTCTTAGAAAAGTCAGTAATTTAAATGCACCTTAAATGACCATAAAAGCTTTAAAACCTAAAAACAACTGTTTTTGCTTAATGTGATACTCAAAGTTAAAGATAACTCTCGTGTCCCACCATAAATGATTTCACTACTTGTTGAATTTCTTAACAGATCTTACAGATCTACCACTCCATAGCAGTAATTAGTCTTAAGTTGTTTTTAACTAGGGCCAAAGTGGCATGTCCATTTACACAAAATGCTATTACAAAACACAAGGCACTAGCACCACTGTTTTCAGCATCTAATTTCTTATGTAATAACTGATAGTAATGATAGTTATTTCAAACTCCTCAAAAGAACTTCATCAAGCTACGTGTTTGCTTTTTAAGTTCAGGGTCAAAACTGCTTTTTGAAAACCCCAAAATTCAAAAATATTGCTCTAGGGGTGTCCAACCTGCGGCCCCTAGGCGGTATGTATCCAGGATGGTTATGAATGCGACCGAGCACAAAATCATATAATTTCTTAAAATATTATGAGATTTTTTGTGTGTGATTACATGTCACAATGTATTTAATGTGTGGCCCAAGACAACTTTTCTTCCTGTGTGGCCCAGACACCAAAAGCGTGGACAGCCCTGCAAAATACCTGAAATGTCTGTTATCTGGTATCTGAATGCTTCACTGAAAATCATTTTAAAAACTAAGTCATCTCATGTTATACAAGTTTTTAACTTAGTCTCACATAAGTTCTCATTAATATAATGGTATCTAATTAACAGGTATTCTCAAACACACTCCCTTGTTTTATTTAACTAATAGATCCAGACAGTTGTCTTCTCATCCCAGCAACATATCCAAAGAAAAGAGTAATGGGAAAGAAGCTAAGAGGCAATTTTCCATTATGCCACTAAAAATCATCTCTGACCCTTAATATAGCATAAAAGACTAATTGTTGTGAGATTCCTTCTACTCTAAAACTGTATGATTCAGTAATACATTTTGCCAATGTTAATATAACTCCTATTCATTAATGCAAGATTCTTCTGTTAGGAGAAAAGCTAACAGGGAAAATCTAGGGGGGAGAGAAAAGAAAAAGTTTTCGGTAAAACTGAAAAGTTTCCATTTTAATTTGAACTTTAGTGACTGCAATGTGTTTGAGTATCCTTTCAATCATTTTAATTATTTTAATTTGTTAATGTGCCTGGCCAAAAGATTGTTTTCTAATTTTGTACTTAGAATATTAGTTAATACCAATATACAAAGTACAGTGTAGCCATAAGTGCAGTATAACTTTAAATCGTTAGAAATTCTAAAACTTACACTGCCATGACTTTAACAGCAATATACACATATCATTTTATTAATATTAGTCAAGCATTCATGTTTCACCTATAAAATAGTTCTAAATTATTTCTTTATAAAAACTAATCTTTTCTCACCAAACCTACCAAGGAATATTGCAGCCATCAAATTCCCTGGATACTTACACATGGCACTGAAGGCAAACAGCCAGACAGATTCCTTTCTTTGAGCAATATGAGTTGTCTATTTTTTTGAAATGTTTTCCTTTTTGTAGGACAAAAAAAATACCTAACTAAACTACTGCAGCCAGGCTCCATTCTATTAAAGCAAACCTAATCTATCATCCAGATGCAACAAGCCTGGCATTAGTCAGGACTGGCCAGAATAGACGGTGTTTTGGTATTTCTGTTGAAATTATTAATTGGTATACAAAAGAGGGCCATCATTCAGGCCCCCAACTGTGTTTATTCCTTCTTGAGTACTTCTTAATGATCACATAAAATTTTAAGTCTAAACATAAAAAGTTTTGTAACAACTAAATTTATGGCAATATTACTTAAAACAGTTCAAGAAAAGTTTTCCACTAATGTTGCTAAACCATGGATGCATCCCAACACGAGAGTCGTCTGCGGAAGTCTCGTAACAAGAAACCTTTAGCTCCACCACCTAAGTTTCCAATCACTGAGAAGGAAGGGTCTGGGACAACTCATCTTCAGGTTCACGGGAGAAGTGGAGCACACCTGCTTTCCTCTGGCAGAGATTAAGCTCCCAGGGACACAAAGGCCAGGGAATCAGACCTAGAGAAGCAAAAAGCTTTAGCTGGAAACCCACCAAGCCCCTGGCAACCCAAACACTTTGAGCCATTTACCTCTTGCTGTTACTTCCCGGGCACCTAGCGGCATGAGATCTTGTAGAATGGGGGGGAGGGGAGGACTATGCGGTCCTGGTCCCACGTTAGGGGAAGGATGTGTACAGTTAACGCCAGAGCTGGTGCTTCTGATCAAGCCCTAGCAGCTCGCAGAGAGGGGCTGGTACTGCTCTCGGACTGCCCCGTTACTCAGTGCGTTGCAATGGCGACCGCCAGGCTTCCCAAGCCGCCAGGGCCCGGGCCAGATCTCGGCCCTTTCCCCCTACTGCTCACTGGCTGGTCGGCTTCATGTGACTAAACAAAACCCCCAAGTCTAGAGCCCAGCTCAGCCCCTTTGTGTCCGCTACCGGATCCTCAGACGCCGCCGTTGAAAGATCCTCCCCCCACTGCCTCCGCCGAGTCCCGCCCCGAGGCGGTGGCCGCCTCTCAACTCAGGCTCCGAGGCCCCCCGCGGCCGCCGCCTCCCCGAACCCGGGTCCCGGGCTCCTTGTGTAGCACCAACTCCGCCTCCTCCGCTGCCGCCGCCATCTTAGCCTGTGCGGCAAAATGCGTCCTTTCGGATGGTTGGGACCCAGCCTAGGGCGTAGCTCCTCGGGCCCAAGCGCCAAAGGCCGCGTCCCCGAACTTCTTCCGCCACCCTCAGTCCCGCCGCCGCCACAGCCCAAAGGCCCAAAACCCACTCCGGCCCCAGCGAATCCGACCAAATAACCCTGAAACTCACAGTTTGGTGCCGTGTGCGTCAAACCGGGGCGACGTTGGGAGCGCGCGGCGTCCCCGCGTCACACGCCGCTCTGTACGCTACTCGGCTCCTACGGCCCCCCTCCGCGCCCCGCTTTTCGCCTCCGGCCCCGGTTCTCACGGCGCAGGCGCGCGGCTTTCCCGCCTCTACCGAGCTGAGGGCCGCGGGGGTGGCCAGTGAAAAGCTCGTGGGCAGCTTCAAGGTGGAGGAGCGTCAGGGCCAATTAGAGAAACAGGGCAGCAGAAACAGTGGACCTCTGTTGTCGGGTGCCAGAAGGCAAACAAGGTCACCTCCCCCAACGCTGACCTAATCTCTCTCAAGGAGGTTCCCGCCCCAAAGTAGGCACGCTCCAAATATGGTGGTGCCCAAACTCTGCAAGACCCACATACTTATGCAAGCCTAGGCCCTTTAAGGTGGAACAGACCAATATTTGATTTCCACAATTACTAACGAGCCAAGATTCCTTTGCCTTTCCTACTCTTTAGGAAAAAAACTGAAGAACTCAAGATTGCCAGTTATAATTGTAGAGTAAAGGCAGAGGAAAGTTTTTGAATCTGAAGGAGACCAAATCTGGGAGATGATGGCTATCGAAAGCATCAAATGTGGCATCCAAGTTATCAGAACAGCCTACCCTAAAAGGTGCCCTGGGTTTGGTCCAATTGATTTTGCCATGACACTTTCTCCTGGCATTACTGTAGGTCCCATGAGTCTCTAAATTAAAGTTATATAAGAAGTACCTGAGATTGGTTAACCCTTCAAAGAATCAGTAGCTCCCAAGAGAGTTCTGGGAAGTCTTCCTTTTTACCAAAGATCCACTGCAGAAGTCTGAAGGCAGAGCTTCACACTTTGAGAAACACTGATTAGGGGCTATTGTCTTTGTCTTTGAACTGAACAAACAAAAGTTGGTAACATGTTTGACATGCACCAAAAGTTCCTGCAGAATCTACTAGTCCTGCCTTAATAAATTCTTTGGCTTTTCTGAATTTGTTTTCCCATTTTTTTAAAAAAAAGTGCTTTTTTTTTTTTTAGTTTAGCAGCTATCATGTGTTCCTCCGAATCCTCAAGATGTTATTGGCATTCAGAGGAATACACTATAATTGCACTTATTTGAGAAGAATGAGAAGCATTCTCTTTCCCACAGGATGGTGACTTCACCATCATCATTAGCAAAAATAGATATCAAACAACACATGTTTATACTTGTTTCATTAGATAATAATAGCTAGCACTTTTGAGCTCCTACTTTGTACCAAGCAATATTTAACTTATTTAATTTCACAACCTAATGAGGCAAAGAGAGGATAGGTAATTTTCTTTTTAATCATTTTTATTTTCAATTATAGTTGACATACACTATTGTATTAGTTGCAGGTGTCCACCCTAGTGATTAAACATTATATAACTGATCAACCTGATAAATCACCAATCTGACGTAATACATGGTTATTAAAATATTATTGACTACATTTCCTATGCTGTATGTTACATCCACAAGACTATTCCATAACAACTAATTTGTACTTCTTAAATGCCTTCACCTTTTTTGCCCATATCCTCAACCCTCCTCCCATCTGGCAACCTTCAAAATATTCTCTGGACCTATGAGTCTGTTCTGTTCTGCTTGTTCATTTATCTCTCTTTTTTTTAGATTCAATTGTTAATAGGTGAACATTTATTGCCATTTTATTCATATTTTTTGTTTTCTTCTTCTTCCTCTTCTTCTTCTTCTTTCTTCTTTCTTCTTCTTCAAGAAAACCCTGTAATATTTCATATAATACCCATTTGGTGGTGATGAACTTTAGCTGTTTTTTGCCTGGAAAGCTCTTTATCTGTCCTTCGCTTCTAAATGATAGCTTTGATGGATAATCTTGGTTGTAGGTCCCTGCTTTTTGTTACTGTAAATATTTCTTGCCAAACCCTTCTGACCTGCAAAGTTTCTGTTCAGAAATCACCTGGAAGTCGTATGGAAGTTCCCTTGTAGATAACTAACTGCTTTTCTCGTGCTGTTTATAAGATTCTCTGTCTTTAACTTTTGCATTTTAATTATGATGTGTCTTGGTGTGAACCTCTTTAGGTTCATCTTGTTTAGGGCTCTGTGCATCCTGGGCTTGTATGTATATTTCCTTACCAAGTTAGGGAAGTTTTCTCTCACTATTTTTTCAAATAGGTTTTCAATTTCTTGCTCTCTCTCTTCCTTCCAGCACCCCCATGCCCATGATGTGAATGTTGGCATGCTTGAAGTTGTTCTAGTTGCCCCTTACACGATCCTCATTTTTTTTTAATTTTTTACTTCTTGTTGTTCTGGTTGGGTGCTTTATGCTTCCTTATATTCCAAATCACTGATTTGATCTTGGCTTTATCTACTCTACTGTTGATTCCCTGTAAATTATTCTTCATTTCAGTTAATACTTGACTCATTTTTGACTGGTCTTTTTTATGATACAGATGTTCTCATTAAGTTCATTGCGCACCCTTATAACCAGTGGGTGTTTTTGTTTGTGTTTGTTTTTTAAGTTGTTTTTTAATTGTTTTTATTGTTGTTCTATTACAGTTGTCCCAATTTTCCCCCATTGCTGTCTCCTGCCCCACCCACCTCCCACTCCTACAGTCAATCCCCACCCTGTTGTCCGTGTCCATGGGTCATTTATACCTGTTTGTTGACAAGACCCTTCCTCTTCTTTCCTTCCTTATCCCTTTCCCCACTCCCTTGTGGTCACTGTCAGTCTGTTCCTTGTTTCCACACCTCTGGTTCTATTTTGCTTATTTGTTTGTTTTGTTTATCAGGTTCCTCTTATAGATGAGATCATATGGTATTTGTCTTTCATGGCCTGGCTTATTTTACTTAGCCTAATACTTTCCATTTCCATCCATGCTATCTCAAAAGGTAGGAGTTCCTTCTTTCTTTCTGCTGCACAGTGTTCTTTTGTGTAAATGTACTATTATTTTTTGATCCACTCATTTACTGATGGACACTTAAACTATTTCCAGTACTTGGCTATTGTAAATAATGCTGCTATGAACATAGGGGTGCTTAGGTTCTTTTGAATTGATGTTTTAGGATTATTGGTGTATAATCCCAGCAGTGAAACTGCTGGATCAAAAGACAGTTCCATTTTTAGTTTTTTGAGGAAATTCCATACTGTTTTCCACAGTGGCTGTACCAGTCTGCATTCCCACCAGCATAACATTAGGGTTCCCTTTTCTCTACAACCTCACCAGCACTTGTTGTTTGTTGATTTGTTTATCATGGCAATTCTAACAGCTGTGAGCTGATACCTCATTGTGGTTTTAATTTGCATCTCTTTGACAGCTAGTGATGCTGAGCATCCTTTCATATGCATATGGGCCCACTATATGTCCTTTCTGGAGAAGTATCTGTTCAGGTCCTTTGTCCATCTTTTAATTATTGTTTGTCTTCCTGGTGTTGAGTCATATGAGTTCTTGATACATTTTGGAGATCAATCCTTGTCCATGGTATCATTGGCAAATATATTTTCCCACATGGTTGGTTCCCTTTTCATTTTGATGATGTTTTCATTAGCCATGCACAAGCTTTTTAATTTGAAGTAGTCCCATTTGTTTATTCTTTCCTTGATTTCCCTTGCCCTAGGGATATATCAGCAGAAATATTGCTTCATGGAATATCTGATATTTACTGCCTATTTTTTCCTCTAGGACTTTTATGATGTCATGCTTATGTTTAAGTCTCATCCATTTTGAGTTTACTCTGATGTATGGTGTAAGTTGGAGGTCTAGTTTCATCTTTTCTCATGTACCATTCAAGTTCTCCCAGAACCATTTATTGAAAAGGCTATTTTTACTCCATTGGATGTTCATGCCCTCTTTGCCAAATATTAAGTGACCATAGAGACATGGGTTTATTTCTGGGTTCTGTATTCTGTTCCATTGATCTATGTGTCTGTTCTTATGCCAATACCAGACTATTTTGATTACAGTGGCCTTGAAATGTAGTTTGATATCAGGTATTGTGATCCCTCCTACTTTGTTCTTCTTTCTCAAGATTGCTAGGCTATACGGGGTCATTTTTGTTTCCACAAAAATTTTTGAAATATTTGTTCTAAATCTGTGAAATATGTCATTGGTATTTTAATAGAGGTTGCATTGAATCTATAGATTGCTTTGGGAAGTATGGACACTTTGATGATGTCAGTTCTTCCAATCCATGAACACAGTATAGCCTTCCACTTATTTGTATCTTCCCTAATTTTTTTCTTCAGTGTTCTGTAGTTTTCCAAGTAGAGGTCTTTTACTTCCTTGGTTAAGTTTATTCCTAGGTACTTGATGTTTCTTGTTGCAATAGTAAATGGGATTTTTTCCCTAGTTTCAGTTTCTCATATTACATTGTTGGTGTACAAAAATGCTTTCAACTTTTGAATATTGACTTTGTATCCCAGTATTTTGCCAGATTCACATATTAGGTTGAGTAGTTTTTTGGTGGAATCTGTAGGGTTTTCTATGTACACTATGATGTTATCTGCAAATAATGACAGTTTTAATTCCTCCCTTCCAATTTAGATGCCTTCTATTTCTTTTTCTTGTATGATTGCTGTGGCTAGAACTTTCAATACTGTGTTGCATAAAAGTAGTAAAAGTGGACACTCTTGTCTTGTTCCTGGTCATAGTGGGGAAACTTTTAATTTTTGCCCAGTGAGTATGATGTTGGCTATAGGTCTCTCATACATGACCTTTATTATGCTGAGGTATGCTCCCTCTACTCCTGCTTTGCTGAGTGTTTTTATCATAATTGGGTACTGTGTCAAACCTTTTTCAGCATCTATTGATATGATCATGTGATTTTTATCTTTCCTTTTGTTTATGTGGTGTATTATGTTTACTGATCAGTGAACATAGTACCATTTTTGCATCCCTGGGATGAATCCCACTTGATTGTGGTGTATGATCTTGATGTATTGCTGGATCTGGTTTGCCAATATTTTGTTGAGGATTTTAGCATCTATGTTCATCTGCAATATTAGCCTGTAATTTTCCTTTTTGATGTATCCTTACCTGGTGTTTGAATTAGGATAATACTGGCTTCATAAAAAAGAGTTTGGGAGTCTTCCATCTTCTTGAATTTTTTGAAGTAGTTTAGGAAGAATAAGGATTAGCTCTTTGCTAAATGTTTGGTAAAATTTTCCAGTGAAGCCCTCTGGTCCAGGGCTTTTGTTGGCTGGGAGTTTTTTGATTGCTGCTTCAATTTCACTAACTGTTATCCATCTATTCAGGTATTCTGCTTCTTCTTGATTCAA